TAGCATCTATCACAGGGTTTTCATCCATTTCTAAAGTGAGCTTTTAGGACTTAAAACAAAGAAAACACTACTATAAAAGTGAAAATAAATAAATTCATAAAGTTAGCCAGATGAGGATCAAAGTTTGTGTTTAGCCAATCTGCTTTACGTGAATAAATAAACTGAAACATGTTATCATGTTGTGCTGGAAGTTGAAAATGCTTATTAAAAACCACAAAAAAAGTTAAAATAATAAATAAATTAAATTATGAGTTGTCTATTTTAGAGCAAGAATACATATAAATCATATTCGAGTTTGCCATCTAAAACTGACAGTTTTCACTTTAAGACTGGATAAAAAGTTACTTTTCTTAAAAGTGAAAGTTCAAACATATTAAAACTTCTTATTTTATATCCGTATTTATGATAAACCTTTAAAATATATAACTGCTAACACGTGGTGATATTTAGGAGTCAAAGATTGAGACGTTAACATGTGGAACGAGTTGTATCAAGTAAAGCCAAGAGGTGGAAGGGCAGCAACAAACAAACAAACAAACAAACAAACAAACAGAAAACAGGCTCTCAGCAGCTGTAAGAGAAAATAAATATGATGGACTCATGAGTGACAGCAAACTGAGTCTATATAGGCTGAGAGGAATGACTGCAGCTGAGACTGATGAACGGATGAGGAGCAGGTGTGAATGAATAACTGCCAATAACACAAGAAAATACAATGAACACGAGCAATTTCAAATAACAGCCAAAGAAAAACATTGTAAAAGATAAAAACAAATACAAAAAAATGAATGAAACAAAACATCACAACAATTGCTCCTTTAAAAAAAAACTAAAACTGAAACTGGGATGGTTGATTCCTTCGACAGGTTCTTCAGCAGACGACCGGCTCAAATGAACATCAGTGGTTTCAGAAATGTCAGACCAAAATAAGAACAAATGTGTTTGGACTCTAACGGTTTGTGTTTCTGAGGGAAATGAATGAGCTAAAGAAAAATTCAGAGATAACCGTCTATTCTGCGTCAGATTCTGCCACTACGACCTCAATAATTCATCAGCTTTGACCATTTTTCTGACTGAAGTTGTTGGATAAAATTGCGAAATGCTCATAGGAATCAAGAAGCAGCTGCAGCTGTGATGAAAGAATCAGCCGCCGTCGTCTCTGTGCTGTTTGCTGAAACATGAGATCACATCAAGCAGGCTGCAGATTAAAACTAAAAATCCCAGATTACAGGAATTAATGTTCAGACCCTGAGAAACATAGCCCTCCATGAACTTGACCTGCGTGGCTGTGAGCCTATACTGTGTGTGTGTGTGTGTGTGTGTGTGTGTGTGTGTGCATGCGGGTTAACTAACTGAACTAAGATGATTACTGAAAGGCGGAAATGCTCCATTTACTGGGTGTCCCACATCTGAGGACCTGAAACGTTCAACAGGTTGAGAAACAGCCGAGACGTGCGTCAACCGTGCAGATGTTGAAAAATTACACAGAGTCTGAAGCAAATTTAGACTTTTTGTTTTATCCTTTAGATTTCTGCTTCAAAAATCAGCTTGTGCAGTTGGAAAAGGCAAATTAGTTTTTTTTTTAATTTGTAGTTTTAAACTTTCGGGCCACCGTACAAAACTTTAGTCTGACTTGTCATCAAGTGACCCGAGGACAAACGAGCCGATGTGGCGCGTTAGCGATGACTGCAGTGTTATTTTATAAAATAAGGCAAAAATAAAGGCTTATGTTGAGCTGAATCAGTGATCAATTATGTTTCAGGTGTTTACTGATGGAGCACGTGGCTAATAAAACAAGTGAAGACAATACTGCTTTAAAACAGAGCTGCACTGATTTGTTGTTGCTGCACTAAAGTGTAAGAAATGAACTTTGTGTATTTGTGCAAAACGGGTGTAAATGCAAAGATCTGAGTACTAATGGCATGGAATTGGTGTTTTGTGAGTTCAGATTTGTGTCTAAGCAAGAAATCACCAAGATTGTATTGTTAGATTTGGATTCAGTTGCACAAACCGTGTGGTCTTTCTTAAATTTTCATTCATTAGGAGTTTTTGTTCTGACATTTCCTTGTTGATTTCCATATTTTGTATTGTAAGCCTCACCTGCTGTGTTCATTCATCAAGTTGCCTCCTTCATGCTTCTTTCTTTTTCTGCAGATACCCATTTCCTCTCTATAATTTCCCTACTTATACCCATGTGTTTTTGTTCTTTGTCACATCCTTGTCTTTAATTACATCATGCTGCCTTCACGTCAAGACCAAATTACTGTATTTTCCGGCGTATAAGTCACAGTTTTTTGCATAGATTTGTCAGTCATGCGACTTTTATATGTTTTTTTTTCCATATTCATAGCACAATTTTTGACTTGTGCTTTAAATTTCGAAGGACTGCAACAGCGAGTCCTCCCATGCGTGCTCTCTTCACTCAGCTGGTGCAGGCGGAGGAACGCTGGAGAGCTAGGGGCTCCGGCCGCGATGGATGGATGGTGCTGTGCTGCACCACCCAGGTGAAATGAAGCTGATTTGACCATTAAATAAACTCATATTAAACACAATGTGTCAGTGGTGGCACATAATAAATGTGATTTTATGTTTTTTTTTCCTCCTCATGATGATTTATTTATTTATTTTTTTTAAACTGATGCAACTTATACGCTGGAAAATACAGTAGGTAAAATCTTGCTTTAACTCTCTCTCTCTCTCTGTGTTTGATTTCAGGATGCTCATGGATTTCATGTTAAATAAAATCAAAGTTTGAAATTAACCTTCACCTCTCTGCCTCTGGAGTAGTTCTCATATTAGATGTTTCTCCTGGTCAGTAAGTGAAAATAGATTGTGCAAAATAAAGTAACAATGCTATATAAATTTATATACACATATAAGGAAATAATAATTAAATCAAGTAATTGAAGGACATGTTTTCCATCAAACCTGCTGTAAATGAACTAAATATGTGATTTGCAGAGAGAAAGTCTGTACTGGTGGTTTTAGTTTTAACAGTAAAGCCCAGAAAGCCTTTGGTCAGTTGTTTATGTCCAAGGGGATGAGTTTTATGTCAAATGTTTAGAGCAAAGTGCTGCTGGCGTCTGCAGCTGTTAAATCAGACACTGAAAAGCAGGACAAAAAATAAAAATGAAATAAACTGTCTGCGTGGATGTTCCAGC